ATTCAACAAACATGCATATATATATATATATATATATATACATATATATATCTTCTATATGCACACAAATCACGTTCTGCACATACTAGCACGTATCAAAATATCATGCTATCACATAATTATTAAATCAGATAATCACGTATTAAATACCTTGGGTAATAACCAAGATCCGGTTATTACAGTTGCCATAACTTTGCCAATGAATTGTTGCCATATTGGATGTTAAGAGGCTCACATTGAGGAGTTCCTACTTTTTGATAACCCACAGGACTAGTTGGAAAACTAAATCATCTCATTCACTAATCCAATAAGTTCACCACTGAAAAGCAATTCTGTAGATATTTTAGTACCTTAACTTACATATAGATCTAGAACACACTAGAACGAAGGATATTGACATGTTCCTTATGCAAAGTGTCAATATAGGATATCCATGATTGGATGGTGTATTTTTGTTGAAAATGTCATATATTGGAAGACTAAGTAGCAAGATATTGTGTCCTGTATCGAGATCAAGTAAGAAGTGTTCCCTAGATGGTCACGGACATACAATCACACGTACACAAACACACACACAGAGAGAGAGATGTAACCTGAAGAACGCTAACATCCAAATAAGTTAGTTGAGGGCACCCTCTTGCAATGGCTGTTATTCCAGCATCTCCTATTTGGTGGCAGCCACTGACATTTAGATGACGTAACAAGGGACAGCCATTACCAATAGTGACCAGAGCTTCATCCCCTACCCTGGTAATATAAATGCAACAAATTAGTTGGCAAAGAAGTTCAAAAAATGAATGTAGCACATCAAAGACATGAACGTAGGAACTTAAAAGCAATTGTTTCATTGATAAAAAGGAAAAACACGAATATATATACATATACACACACATATATACTGTGAAAAGGGAGGTTTTATATAGATGAGAAAGTGTCCAAGCCTAACAAATGTGAGACTCTAACACAAGCCCGGGAACAGATTGTCCCAGAGTGTTGAGAGAGGTTTGGTGGGAGGGGTTAGGTGACTACTGATTGCCCCAAAGTGTTGAGTCCTTAAATGTGGTAGACCTTGACCATGTGAGAATATGTGGAACGCCATTAGATTACAAAAGAACCTTTAAAGAGGAAATTGTCGAAGCCTAGCCACTGCATCATATGCTATTTCATGTGCTATTTCTCTTATGAACTCTCCAAATCGTGAGATCTATATGCATCATGTGCTATTTCATATGATTCTTTTATCTATGGCTAGAATTTAATGTAGTGATTAACTTATATTTGTTTCACATGTATTTGGTTCACAGAGTGAGCCTTCTTGCGTGTTTGTGAAACAAAAAATACATGTAAAAGAGTTTCACATTCTGGACCGAACAAATGTGAAACAAACACATCGTGAAACAAATATATGTAAATCAATACATTAAATATTATACTTGGATGGAAAAAAGATCATGTGAAACAAAACCTATAGAAGTTCTCATGGATCTCACACATTTTGGAGTTCCCAAATGAGTAAACCCCTATATATAGAGGGGTGTTCTCGTTTTATGAAAGCACGTGAACATCCATATGACATGTGATACTCAATCAAAGACATGGGGATCTTTGGTGCGGGCCAAGTCGCTAGCACATCACTAGGTCCCTTCACATGTATTATCACATGTAATATGGGAGCTCTCACGTTTTCATATATATATATATATATATATATCTCAAAACCCAACAAGTGATTTTGATTACCAAACATTTTCTTTTTTTTTACATTAACAGAGTTGACGGCAGCATCAGATCGACCTCTCAGAAGCTCTTTTAGTGAAATTAAAATAGTGATAATTCTTACAAATACGGCTGCATAAATTTAACCAAAAACAAAGTCAAAATTGAAGTAATACAATCAAGAGGAACTAAACTAGGACCATCAGCATGACGCAGAATTTTAGCTGGGAGAAGATAACTCTACATATTTTTTAACAAATTGATAGGGTTGATTATAGATCTGGTATAGTTGATGATAAATTCTACATACATTAGTGAACTTTCAGATAGAAGTGATCTATTTATATGGTTATAGTGTGTTCCAGTCTTGGTGAAACAACAATTTTGCTTATAAGTACCTTTAAATAATATCCATACCTATTATATACTGTAAATGAGAGCCAAGGGGGCTTGATGAGGCCAGAGGCCTAAGCATGCAATTTGTCAAAAAGGAATCTAGGCTCTACCGCTCTAGACAAGCAGCCTGACTCGTCTCAGAGCAACAAGTATTATGACAGTAATAGCAATTGGCATATGTCGCAGTATTAGTTTTTTTCTAATTGGGCTTGTAAACGGTAATCACATATATGATTATCTACTAATTCCAGTTCAATGCTTGTGAAGGCAACCATGTTTAAGTTTGTGTCCATCTGATGTTACTTGACTGCAAGTTAGGTTACAGCTATATTCTATTAAGCTAAATATTTGACCGACTATGTTATACATGTTAATCTCTGCATACCATGTATAATTATGTATGTACAATATGATATATTTCTTTATGAAATCCTTGAAGACAATATAATTACTCATCTGTGAGCGGGTCACAGGCTCAAGTGAGGGGTACAATCATGTAGCAAACGTAAGGGAGACCATGTACAAAGACGTCTCTGTCCAACCCTCATAAAACATAGGAGCCTCTGTGCACCATGATCACCCATCAAAGCCTAATAGCGTTTAGAAAGAAGAAATCGGAAAACTCTTACCTATCACAAAACCGTATGCTGAGATCTGTAAGGTTTTTACAGTTGTCACCAACAGCTATAATTCCCTTGCTCCCAACCTATGAATTACAAGAAAACAGACAATTAATATCCTTGTAGGTGCAATAGATTTCAAATAGCAGGTAATACAAGTAACTTGAACTGAATTATATCAAAAAGAAATTATAGCATGCAATAGTTCCAGTGGAATTCCCATGTAGGTTAACTGAAAAGTTTTCATAGAGGTTAAAGAATGTTGATCCGTAATGTTGCTCTAAAACATCACAGATGACATTTTCTTGACACACATAGCACACATCAAGGCAGTTAATTGTGGTCAAAATAAAAATAAAAATCTGACAAGTAATATTTATAAGCACACCCGATTACATACAATACTTAACGTAAATTGACATGGACATATTTGATTATTGAATGAAATTCATCTTCTAAACTACTCAAGGATTGCTGCAATAGAAGAAAAGCATGGTAAACAGGCACATAATTCAAGCATTTCAATTGGGGAAGCATTAGGCATGACATTCAAGTGCCAGCTGAGGAGGATGTGGGATAAGTAGTTGCAGCTGGACATGGAAACCTTTAGGCTTTTCTGAGGGCATGACCTCTTATGAGAATTCTTGGAGACAACAGATTAGGGTTGCCAATTATCTGTCGGGGGGGTTTTAGCTACACAGTTGGAAGGGGAGGGGAATGGAGGAGTAGAGGGTTGGTTGGTAGTTCTTTCGATCTTTTTAGATATACCTCTAATAAGCTGTTTTAAGTGTTGTTCAAAGTATGGGAGTGTGCGTCATTACACACGTCTTTATTTTCCACACTCTTGTTAAACTTTCTAACTCTAAGTCTCTAATGCCTTTTTCACGCTGGTTTTTGTACAAAAAATTTATAATGCCTCAAGCTTTCCAAAATCGTTTCTAATTCTCTCAAACATCCCTAAACCTTTTGCAAGTCAGGGGTCTTCATGGAAACAGTCTCTCTACCCATAGGGGTGGAGGTATGGCCTGTGTATATGTTACCCTTCCAGCCTTCCTAGACCTTACTTGCGCGTGGGATTTTCTAGGTACGTTTGGTTTGGTTTGGTTCGGTCTATGAGATTTTATAAAAACAATAACATACAAAATATAAGAGAGAAAATGTCACGCGAATACAAACATTTAAGAGACAGCACCTCATAACATCTGCGTATATGAAGCTTTTTCAAACTCTTGCAGCCTGTAGCAATGCTGCATATGGCATCATCCCCAATCACCGAGCAATCAACTAAGTGAAGAGCTTGCAAGTACTTGCAACCTTTGCCAACTTCAGATAGGGCTTCATCACCTACTTTTTGACAGTATAGTAACGCTAATTCCGTGAGACGCCTGTAAATTAATCCATATTACCCTCTTAACACACTGTCAAGCTATTATACTCATTTACTGAATCAATGCTACAAGAGCCGTTCACTAGCTTCATATTGTAGGACCTGCTGAACTTTGGACCACGATGAAAATTTCTATTTTCAAGTGTAATACTTAAATCAAATAACCATTGTCAAAAACTTTGGGAAAGGAAAAATCGAAGTAACTACAATCCAAATTTGAACAGACAACCCAATTCATAGAAGCATGTTGGCAGGAGGCCACATCTCAGGTAAATCAATTAGACTTTTTCTTCCTTTCCCACATTGCAACAATTCTACAATGTAACATACACACCCTGCCTGCTACATACAGCTATACTTGTTAAAATATGTAAATAAAAAAACTAAAGAGCTTATTTCTACAAACCTTTCAAAAAACAAGAGATTTAGTTACCCCAACAAGTGTGGGATGAAAGGCTTGTTCAGGTATAAACTTTTATGTATACTGAAAGCTACAGAGAGTCAATTGCTTACTTTAGAAACAGAACTTTATTTATTAAGAGAAGAAGGATTATCGATAACTAATGATCTATGCATACATAGAGGATCATAAAACATAGGTCCGAGACAAAGAGGCTATCAGTTTGAGAACACCAGAATATAGCAAAAAGAAGTTTCGAATCACTAGCTAATTTCCAGTGAGGTTGGAGGATCAAACAACATATACAGCAAAAGAAAATTCTAAAAACTGATAAATGACAAGAAACCTTACATGCAAGACCTTCCGATGCTTTCCAGCCCATAAGTACCAATGTTGTGGCAGCCATTAACTTCAAGACGTGCAAGTTCAGAGCAACCAGCGGCAACAGCTTCTAATCCCTTATCACTCAGAAAATAGCAATCACTCAGCATCAGACTCCTTAATTTCTTACATCCCTTCCCAATGGCACAAAGACTCCTGCATATGTCAAACATCATACATAGGATCATATCATCCAAATTTATTTCTCTCTTCTATTTCTCCGCGTAAATAATCAGCGTATTTCCGCTTCAAAGTAGAGAATTTAGCTTACAACGGTCCTCTGTTTCATTATACTAAAAAGAAGGTACTGAAACTAATACCAAGTTAATATCTCAGTGCTATAGGTCTTCACTCTTATGTTGATACTGAAATTTAGTTCCTTCTATCACTTCTTTACAAAAGCATTGCTTTTGGTTTTTTATCCCAAAAGCAAAAAGTATATGTGATTCCGACTTGTTGAGGTCCGTGCAACATGAGGCCATAAATCTTCCTAATACTTACAGTGATGCCTTCAGGCCAATATGCATATGTGAAAGACAGTTTGTAGAAGTTAACAGCTAAGTACAACTACAGATCCCCTCTGGATAGAGTTACCTGAGGTCGCTTTTACAGCAATTAGAAGAACAAAACTCCACACATCTTCAAACTAAAATACCTTAACTTATCATACACCCTCCACCAAGCAATAGATGCAACATATGGTTGTTATAAAAATGACATAGTTTGACTGCATGCCAAATGCCACCCTTATAGTAAAATAGTGTTTTAATAGATAATGCATCACATCATGGATGTGATGGGAGAAAGCATGTGTTAATCTTGCATTCTTGCCCTAAAATTTTTAATTTAGAGAAAGGCTTGTTGGCCAACATGTATTTATGGTCCCATCTTGGTAGCACTTACATTTTCAGTTGCAGGTTTATATTTTTTTTTGTAACCAAAATAGAGTGCGATGTCTTCATGGGTATGGAATCAACTGTGTTTGGATAAACTGAAAAGTGGATACGTGTTTAGCAGTTCTTATTTTCTCAAATTTTTCTTAAGATAACTTGTTAGTTCCCTTCTCTAGAACAAATAAATATACCTTCTAGCCTCCTCAGCCTAACATGCTATGTTCTCCAAAAAGCCATACACCATTAATTTTGTCTTACCTTCCATGCTTTCTTCTTTTTTCTGTTGATCAATATTTGAAAGGACAGGGTAATATTCAGAAAATTATGCCAAAAATCAATGAGGACTCATGAGATCTGAACCAGAACCATTACATTCCAGTCACATATGGTCTTTTACTGCTTCGTCCTCCCCTAAGTTCTTCCAATTCCCACTGCTTACTTTCTTGATGTGGGTGATGTATCCAGGACTCCTCCCCCCTTGTCTTAGTGTCCCGTATCTTTTACCATTTCTGATATCCCCTGTCTCCATCTTTCATACTCTGGTTTCCCCATCTCCTTTGTCATCCATGCTGTGGTCGTTTATGTCTCCTTTGGTTCATGTCAATGATCAGAAGCTCAAATGGTCATGGAGAGAATTTGTGGTAAATATTAATATATATATATATATATATGAGGCTATCAAAGATGGTTGTTGGTACCAAAAAGAACTTATGTTTTGTAAGAGAACTATTAGAAAGTTAAAATCGAATCCTAGAATTCTAAGAACAGCATCCTTAACTGCTCCAGCCTCTAAATAATCGTTACAACTCTCTTGGAGTCCGACAAGTGTTGTGAAAGGTCAACCACAAGGGTTGTGGCATAGTGGTTGAGGCCCAGAGTATGTGGTGGAATATCCCATCTACCCTGGGTTAATTTCCAGGCGTCCACAACAATTGTGGCTACTGTGTTTATCAGTACTGATCTCTTACAGTCACAATTTGCCAGGATTACTCTAAGCATAGCCTGGGACACCCTTCCAAAAAAATGTGTTGTGAAAGGTCAGCTGAGGGTAGAAAAGCTCTAATCAAGCAGATCATGATCAGAGTGATCTGATTACAGCCAGAACAAGGTTGGATCACGGTTGCTTAAGAGATCCTTATCTTCTCTAGTTTATGTTTATCTGTTTTAGTTTGTGTGGCGCATATACTTTCAGCTCAGTAACTAAGAGAGTGAAAAATAAAAGTGCCTCTGGACAATTGGCTAACCTGCAGGTCTAGTATAACGACTATTTTTTGCTGGACTGATTGGATTTCGTATCACTTTGATCCTAACCCCCTAACGGCAAAGTTGACGGTCGTTACAGGGGTCATGTGCACAGCACATGGATTTAGTTAGGAGCAGTCTTCCATTTACTATTTTCATCTTCAACCTAATATTTGTATACATCCAACTTCATTTTTTCATTAAATCAGAATTCATCCATCATATTTTTTATTTTCATTACAAAACAAATCGTGTCCATTTATATAGCAAACCCTTGATTTACTCTAGAGCTGTTCTTTTAATTTTTATAAACAGCCAGTACCAATGAAATCACAACTTACTCAAAGCTTTCAACCAATAAAATTCAGCATTTCAGCATCAAAGGTTTGTCAGTGACGGAATGCACGACATCAAACTGCATCTTCCAGAAATAAAATAAAAACCCAGATGGGGAGACCCAAGCTTTATAGTTAAGAGAACAACAAGGAACGAAGCTGAGAAAGAAAAGCCAGGGCCTTCATTCAGTTATCACTCCCGGAATCAAGAATTAGATGGGGGGAAGGATTTGCTTACTAAAACCGGTGCTGATAGCAGATTAGTTCCTTGTACTATACCAGATGCTCAAACAAATATATCGATGGTATCTTGGCAGCGTCATATATCAACAATGATTAATGTGAGGATTGGCAAGTCAACAAATTAAGAACCAAGTTGAATTCTAAATCTGGGTGAAGATGCATAGCGGCATTGAACCAGGAACTGTAAGAATAAATCGATGCCAGAGTAAGTGCAACAAAATCTCCAATGGTCAGAACTCTCAAATCCCCTGGTGTTGGTCATCACAAGTGTACTGATTGGATCCTTCTCCGTCTTCAAAGAAACTCTTAAAATGTAAATCATGATAGCATGACATAATAACAAAGAAACAAGTTCAGGGATAATCCACCACCTAACTCCATGTGATTTAAACCACCAATATCTACATTCTACAAAAAAGAATTAGAAGACCTTTCTATAGCAACAAACTGCAAGTGTTCGTTTACGATGTTCACATGTTTCTGGAAATTTAGAGTATTGGCCCCAAATTTATGTAAGTTTGTTTATGGTGTTCATGTGTTTGTTTATACGTTGTATTGTGACAACCAGTCCTCTCCCATGAAAGGACCATACACATTGAGGTCAATTGCTATTGTACTCTGACTTGAGGTGGTAGGGTCTTCTAGTGATCCTTTTTCTACAGAGCCAGTTTGGATCCACAAAGGTGACCAGGTTGCCAATGTGTAGCAAATCCGTTATGAGGATCACAAATTAAGTCTTTATAAGACAACATTGACTGTTTTGACATATATGCTCCAACTAGAGAACCGTGAAGACTCTTCTTACCTAGAGATTCTCTTGTTTTATGTTTATCTATTCTAGTTTATGTAGCCTATATATACTTTCAGCTTTCTAAATAGAAGAAACATTTCCCGAAAATATCATTTTTCAGTTGCAAAGATCAAAAAAGCTTCACAAATCTCTGGCAAGATCTAGGGATGCAGATTGTTTCTGGATGGTGGACAAAATCATTTAAGTTAAGAGAGGATGGAGAAGCTTTAACCAACATTAGAGCATCACAGTAGGATTTGGCGATCAGAACAACTTCAGGATAATCTGGCAACCTTTATTGATCATAGTAGGTTAGATCTTGTTTTTGAATTAAATCAGGTGCAATAAAACCGTAAGGGAAAAATCGCAGAGCAGATTCAGGCAAGAAAAAGAAAGATGGCAGTAGACAGACACGAGGGAAACAAAAGAACACACCAGAGCATCCAACAGATCATGGCATAGGAACGAAACCAAGGGAAACTTCAAACAGCCAATGCTAGGGTTTTTCATGTAAGAGAATAATGACTTCCAACCAACAGCATGGAAGCATAACTCCCAGTTCTCACAAAATATTTACAGCCAGGTTGAATTATGTTATTACTGGGAATGGTATAAGTATAGTGTCTGATTGTAGGCCTGATGGACCAAGAAATGAATATTGAACTAATTAACATATAAGCCTATAAGCCTAAGCTAAACGTAACAGAAACTATTATGACATCTATTAGGGGGGAAGAGAAAGGATGCGGAAAAAAGAGGGGGAAATGAGAAAGAGGATGAGACCACAAAGATGCTTCATCCTCGTCTTCATTACAAATAATATAGAAAAGTCCACATGATTTGAAGACAACAGCTTCATTAATTCAAGTTGTCAAACATGTGTTTTCCCTTGGATAGTGCGTCTTCTAAGCCATCAAAGCACAGGCCAGCCTATAGATAACGTATACAAAATCTGGAAACCAAGTTCAATCTAAAAACAAAAACGGTTCCAAACAGCACTTATCTTCTCAGTTCTTATTATTTAAAGGTAAGTGAAATAAGTGTGCCTCAAACTACCTAAACTAGGTCACTAGCCTAGATGTAATGACAAGTACGCTGGAAGATAAGCATGTTTTTTTTCTCAAAACTCATGACATATGTAAATGTTGCATTTGGCATGGGACATCTTATTATAGTATTTTTGCATCATTTATGAACAACAGAAGTCTTAAAATTGCATACAAGTTGATTTATAAACAAACAAGAGCTTGTATGAAAAAAACAAAGAAAGAAAACTAACTTGTCCGAAAATCTCTGGAAGCTATAAAGTGCCAATGACTCCAATGACACACAAAGGATGCCTACAGCACTCAAAGCCTCATCTGTGACATTAATGCATTGCAAATTCAGATTTCTGAGATGAGGGCATYCTTTGGCAACAGCAAGTACCCCTTTGTTGTGGATAAACTCAGAGTCCAATGACAAGGTCTCAAGAGATCTGCAATAAGACCCTACAGCTTCTAATGATACATCACTTATTTTAGCACATGCAGCAACACCCAGTGATTTCAAGGTCTTCCCACAGCCAAGGGCTAACTCAACTAAACCAGCGTCGGTTAAACCTTCACAAAACCGCAAATTCAGCGCTTCAAGTTGTTTGCAACACTCTCCAATAGCACCTAGACCTTGATCTCCAACATAGCAACCCTTTGGAAAGAAGTGAAGGCTAAATTTTAGTTAGATATTGAAGTACAACTGTTTCATATGTGAACATGGCTCTCACATCGATGAGAAACATAAGAATGGTACACATAACATGATGCCATAATTCTTGGAGTTCGTCGAGTCAATCAGAATTCAGGATGTTTTAACAGATAACATAATCCAAATTTTTTTCGCCACATTGCTGTCATTCAAAGTTCAAATTCTGAAAGTAGAATTTGGTTTGCAAATCTGATACTTGGTTCTTAACACCACATGCCACTCGCAAAATTCATTCCTAGAAAGCCATTTACAGAATCAACATCCAATACAGGTTTTTATTACATCAGAAAGTCAATAGAATATTCCTTGGGAGCAGGCATGACTCTACAGCCCTGAATTTGGAGATCAATACAGACTACAATGCAGATGATATCCTAGTATAGTTGTCACGGGCTCACACACCACGACAAGCCATGGCAGTAGCCAACCAACAAGATTCGTCCGTACAAGTCGGTCACTATATACTATTTATATGGATGGATTAATATAATAAGATTAAGCACAATATACCAACATTGAACCACAAGGGTTGTGCCCGATTGGTTTGAGCTTGGGCTCCAAAGGTCAAAAGTGCCTGGAGGTCCCAGGTTCGAATCCAAGGAGGAATAAAAATCCCCTTGTGGCCACGGAGGTTCGAATCCAAGGAGGAACAAAAATTCCCTTGTGGCCACGGAGGTTCAAATGCGGTGACTCCGGGCTACCCGGTTGCCCTGGGATTAGTTGGCTCGCATAGCGGGTTGGATATCCAGGTTAATCAAAAGAAAAAATATATAAACTATTTGATGTTGAATATTACTAGCATAGGCCCACTTCTTTTTTTTTTTTTTTTGGAAGTATATAAACATATGCCCACTTTCAACAAGCTAGAACACAACAATAAGTGATGCTTACATTTTAGAGTTTTGCAGCCTGGAACTTATAAATTAGATTACATACATAGGTCATGGCACATAACAGCTATAAGGCTTCCTGCCTAGAATCTAGATTTTATAGTAACCGTAAATCTTAAAGCAACGTATTGATAACCGTTGTTTCAGCTTTGGAAATAGAAATAAATAAAAAGTAACAGATAAAAACTTGGTTATCTCTACGACTCTACTAAACAAAAGGAGAAGGAAGTAAGAAGAAAATAGAAGAGTTGCATACTGAGAAAAAAAAAAGAACAAATAAAGATGAACTAGAGTCGCATTGTTCAACCATTGAGAGGAGAATGGAGATGCTCTTCAGAGGATGAGCGATAATCCCTCTTATCAAAATGTAAATTTTGTGTTGCTTAGTTCATCACCAGTGCACACTCATCATTCATCCATTCTCAAGTGCACGATCCATTAGAGCTTTAAGTTCAGTTGCAAAATTGATTTAGGTAAGTGGAATTCTGTTTCTCCCTTTTAAGTTTATTTGAAGAATATTGGGCTTGCAGTGACATCAGAAAGGAAACCGTTGTTTACACCCACATGACATCATGAAGAATTACAAGGCAACTGCCACATCAACACTAGGGGACCCATGCCATTTGGTCACCACTAGGATGACATGGCAGCACCAAGGCAATACCATGGCATAGTCATGACAATAACAGATCATGCTAGCCATTAATGTTGCCAGATGTGACAGCTAGGCCTGGACGCCACTCTCTTTCCGGGTTATTCCTAAAAGAGGGGACCTCCTCAACTAAAACTGATCCATAGTTCACAATGAACGAGAGTGAAACAAGCTTTTTACCTGCAAATCTAAAGATTTCAAAGATTGACATTTCTCCGCTACAAATCTAAGGCCAGCACTTGTTGCATTAGAGCACCATATTAGGCTCAATTTCTCAAGTTTGGTAAATCCATCAGCAACAGCAGCCAAACCAGCATCAGATAGACAATAGGAATCCAATTCACTAGCTCCAGACTCACTTCTCTCAGACACAATGTGAAGCCTGAGCCATGAGAGAGCAGATTGGCTAGCACTACGCCGTCTCCCCTGCATTTTGAAATAACCAGGAATTACCAAAATATAGTTTCCAATCTGAGCTTGGACACACATTGCATACTATTATTACCACACAAGTAATCAAACATCCCCCAGCCAAATTACTGTAAATGGTTAGCCTTAACAAGTCTTGATACAACTGCCATCTAACTATATTGCGTTAATGTCAACAATGAACATTGGAGGGAACTCCCAATTAATGCAAGTACAGCAAAGGTTCTTATTCCTCTTCAAAAAAGCATATTGTTGGTGGACAGAAGGTATATAATTTAATTTGTACAGAATCTAACAAGACTGTATTTGTTTTCTTGTTGCACTAAAAACCTGAACCCGAATGCAGCTGCATCCTACCTAAGAAAATCAATAATTTTTTTCAAAAAATCAAACCCTAAAGCCAATGCCACATGTTTTATAAACGTTAGGCCTATGCAAATGCTCGCTCATTTGTAAAGGAAATATAATACATGATGAGCCTCTATGCATCATTCCAAAAGAGTACTCAACAGAGTTTTACACGTTCTTAACATAGAAAGCAAAAGGTAAAGATCTCGAAATCTTTGCCAACAAAAATCTATAAAAAATTGAACTTGTTTTCCATGTACTCTTGATGTGTGAGATTTTCACACCAGCAATACACAAGAGATGGATCTACTTGATGGACAATTAATTGTACTCCCTCCCTCTCAAAAGAAAAATCCCAGTAAATGGAGGTACAGCGCATGTCTTATTCATCATCAAGTGCATAGTTCGGTGAATGAAAGGTAACTAGTTTAATTTTTTTCAGTAAGCAATCAGTAACTAAGGAACTGGACTTTTTGCTTATTCTTAATGTCCCGTTCCCTTGAAAACCTGAACCGAAGAGAGTTGAATCCTACTCAAGAATGTCCATAATTTTCAGAAAACTGTAACCTCAAGCCCAGATCACATTTTTTATCAATTTTATGCATATGAGAATGCATGCTCATATGTAATACAAAATTTAGCCTTCATGCATTATTCCGAGAGGCGTGCTGCCGTGCTCCTAACAAAACAGGTTTGCATGTCCTTAGGTTAAAGAGGAAAAGGTCAAGAGCTCCAATTCTTTGTAACAATTGTATATAGAAATTTGAACTTATTTTCTATTCACAATTCATGTATGAAACTTGCACACAACGGTTCACAATAGATGAAATCTACTTGATGAACGCTTCATTCTACTTTCTCCGTCCCTGAAGGAAAATCACAATTAATGTTAGCACAGCACAGGTTCTTATTCCTCGTCAAGTGAATAATGTGGTCAATAGAAGGTGTATAATTTAATTTTACACCAAATTTTAATGTTGTAAACCTCGTAGTTCGTGGTGGGGAAAATCCAACACCAATTATTAAGCACTCCGGAAAGCTAGCATGCAAAGTCAGTATAATGGCGTCATCCCGCACAAATTGGTGATCAACTCTCCAACAAGAAGGTCATTAAAATTGTTTCAGATGTGACATGGCATTCTGCAATTACAGAGAACGGATGAAATGTTTCAGGTCTTAAGGCAGTCACAAGTGGATGTGAATATATGGATGCGGATGTAGAAAGAGCATTTCATTTTAGGATGATGTGCGGGTGGGAACAGAACCCCTTAAATACAAGTATCTGCAACTCTTCATGATAGACCTTTTATCAGGTGCTCTTGTATCCGTCTTCAACATTGTTGAAGGTTGAAAGTAATAAACTTTATACTCCCGAAAAAAAGAAGATATAGGTTTACTAGTTTCAAAATGTTATAAATGAACCCAGTATATCCCATCCGGAGGTGGGTATGGGGTGGGTAAGATTAAGAGTAGAGTTATTGCTCTGGTGAAGACCTCTGGCTTGTGAAAAGTGTGTCAAAGAGAGAAAGTCAGATATGATAAATTTTTGAAAAGCTGGTTAGAGTAAACAAAACATACAAATCGAAGCATGTACAAGAAAAGCATAACCAATTTCTTAAAAACTACACACCCCGAGTCTAACTCACCCTCTACTTTTCCAGTTCCCTACCTCAGTCCGCTCAAGCTACAAATCCTCACCCCTAGTCTGCTACCCTAGTCTTGCGTCTCAGGAGCTTGTATCAAAGGTGGTGTCCTCGAAAATGCCTAAAACTGCCATATCCATCCTCTGTTGCTCAACCCACATCCTCCTCCGCCTATATTACATATTAAACATTATAAAAAGTGTAGCCCATTTAAAATTGAAATGTTCTGATGCATGCTTGTACTGAAGGTTTCTTACATGTAAAACATATGCTAACACTATCATAATTGTAACTTCTTCAGAAGTTGAACAGAATTTGTCCATAATCCAATTTTGACTGATATTCTTAAATGATATTGCATAAGCAGAGTAGCAAACCACAGATGACCTTGTTCATGCAAATTTCCTAAAATGGAAATCTCAAGTTGTATATGAAGTATTCCAATCCTGGTAACCGCTTTTGTAAATATCATCAAACCGAGACTTAGGTATAACCCCAGAAATTGGTGCAAAAACAAACAAACCAACCAACCTAAATATCAAAACAAAACCGGGAGAAAAGAGCTTACGAAATCGACCGGGAGAGAGATGGAGAGTCGTTCGTCGATGTAAACGTTGGTGACATTAACAAAACGGCTTGCAAGAAGGTTAACGAGTGCATCCGGGCTACCGGAGGCCCCAATACGAATGGTATCACGGCTGAGGCGTTCGAGGGTCAGCCAACGACGGCAGACGAGAGAACATGCGTCTCGGCTCGACTTTGAGTCCAGGTCACGGAAGATCTCCAAGATCAACTCGTCTGGTAACATCGAATTTATCCAATCATGCCCCCTCATTGCACTTTAGTACAGATTCAATATATCGACACAACAGAGAGAAATCGTGCATATGCAAATTCAGAGAAATTGTGTGTGTGTGAGTGAGAGAGAGAGAGAAATATGAGAGAGATGGAGCAAGAAAAACAGTGAGTTTCATGGATTAATGTGAGTTTTGAGGTCACTCGGTAGATCGGCGGTTGAGTTCGATGAATCGTATGGTTTCAGGCTTTCAGCTGATAAAGTTGGTTTGCAGGCCCCACACATTCCTATAGATATATGTCCATATCCGGCCATATGGTAAAAGCGGTTCATGATAAAAGCTAAAAAAACGAGTAATGACTTGCGGTAGGTGTTTATCAGTAAAAATTAATACTATCATTTATTTATGGGGTAAGATTTTAGTTTATTAAAACGGCATCATATATAACAATTTATCCAGTAAGCACTTATCATAGTAAGAGTCATTGTTCTCACTTATCAGGTAAGACTCTCGGTCCTTGTCTTGCTCTTACCGTATAAGATTTTTGGTTCTTACCATATTCATCCGATAATATAATGTGATTTGGTAAGCGCTTATTCGGGTAAGCATTTGTTAACCCCAATTGTTTCTTTGAATGTTATGGATATATGAATATAAGTAATTAAAATCATATTTTTATTTTTATATACGTGTACATGTTATATGTATACCTAATAAATTGTTTACAAATTACTTGTATGCACATATATATATCGTTAAAATGAATAGTTATTTGAGGATTTCTTAGTTTTTCATTTACAGTTCTTCTTTGAATCTGACCATTGTTTTATATTTATTTCCAACGAGAAAAATTAATCAGTTATTTGAAAAACTAGTTGTCGTTTTAAAAACTATAAGACATTGTGGATCTGGTTATGATATTGTTGGCACACCTTTGCTCTTATAGCATAGTGAAATGATGTCAACTTGATCTTGAAAACGGTGTATGACCGATATCAATATATATATATATATATATATATAGGAGTGATCAAATGAAAATCACTCTCATTTGTAAAAACGTTCCCATATGTATATATATATAGGGGAGCGATCAAATGCAAACCACTCAATTTGTACAAACCGTGCAAACTTCATTCAACCAATCATAATTTTTCATTTTGTTCATTTTTTTGTGATTTTGAGAGGTTGATTAATCATTTTTACTGTGGAGGGTGTTAATCATAGATATTATCATCTTCATTATTTTAATTTTAGAGAAATACATGAAATAGTTTCATTAATTTTAGAGAATACATGAAACAATTTCATTAAGTATTATGTGAAACAATTTCATAACCATATATGAAACAATTTCATCAAAAAAGTATTATATGAAACAATTTCACAAGATTAAACAATTTCATGAAAAAAATTTATAAGATTAAACAATGAAATCGACGAATGAAGATGATTTGCACTGTTTACACAAATGAGGGCAGTTTTCATTTGATCACTCCTCTATATATATATATATATATATAGGTGGAGGTTCAAACGAGAACCCATGTGATTTACGAGAACGCGAGAACAACTTAATAACCTCAAACTTTTTTAATTAATAAATTAACTTTTATTATATATAAATAATTTAATAAGGAAAATAATGTAATTAAGTAATTTTTATAATTTTTATTTTATTTTAATTAATCATAATTATCTTTTCACGTTCCACGTTTTTCTCTTGGTAGTTATCTTCTTCTCCTTCGTTCATGATAATCTCCATGGCTTAACATCTTTTCTTCATATCACACCTCTATCACA